AAAATGGCGAAAAAATTTCTTGTCAGGAAAGGGCCAAATATTACTTTCACAATTAGTTTCCGTTTGTTTAGCCTACATGACCAATTTATCAAGTTATCATCCCTCTATTTGGTCGAAATTACACGAAAAACCAAAAAATTCAATCCGGTTTTTCTCAACACTAGAATATTTTTGGAAATTTGTTAACGTCGTTCGAATTACGACTAAAAGGTCTTTAATATCATATATCACTCAAACCAGTCCAATGCTTTTTGAAGTACCTGATTTTGCGTGTAAAAAAAGAAAAAAACAAAAAAATACACCCGAATACAAAGTTCCTCCCCATTTTCAATGCTTGGAACAATGATAGCATATTTTGGCATGTTTTGCAAACATTGCTTAATGCTGGTTGACTATAATAAATTAGCGTTTTTACCATATCGAGCACTTATCAGTTTTTATTACATCAAATACTGAGTAAAAAGAAGTCAATAATTGGAAATGGTTTTAAATACAACAAAACTTCTAGAATGCCAGTTTTTGGATCAAGTTTAAATTTGAACACTGCAAGGATAGAGATAGAAAAAATGAAAAATCTAGCTTTCATTTTTAATCAATAAAAACATTCACTTTGAAGCTCAAGCGCGTTGAGCTACAAGAATATTTAGATTAAACTATTTGGGAATAAACACATGGCAAGCTGCAAAAGTTTCCATACAGCGAATTATTGCAGGGCTTTGATCCGAATGCTCTTGACTCGTTTTAACTCATGAAAACAGAGCCCAAAAATGAAATGATAGCATGCGCGGGCATGTTTTGCGTATAATGCTTGAAGCTGTTTGCCTACAGGGAAGAAGCGGTTACTGCTATCTTGAGCGCTCGTTAAAAATAAAAAGAGGTCAATAAGTTTTGAAATTCAACTAAAACAAACGGAAACTTCGTTAATGTCAGTTTTTGGAAAATTTTCTAGATATAGCACTCTGAAGAAAGAGCTGGAAACATTCCTTTCAAAATTTAATTTGAAAAACAAAACCTCGTTGAAGCTCAAATTCTTTGAATCACAAGAATTTTTTACGATAAAAACTTCTTTATATTAACCCAATTAAAAAAACTTAATCAATGAAAAAACTGGTTGAAAAAGTTCTTTTATGATTACGTTGAGAATCTTGAAATTATAATCCAATTCAAAGCTAAGAACCTTTAATAATTTTTGCTTCCTTTGAACATTCGTTACTGATGAGCGCAATTCCGTTTGAGCTGAACTTTGAAAAAAAAATTGAAGCCAAGGTACGATGTGACTTTGTGGTACATGGAATTGCATAGAAAAATCCGAATTGAAAATTGAAAGTTTTTTCCACGCAATCAGAACAACAAAAGCAACCTTCATGGGACAAAACAATGTTTGCATACTTCATATGTTTTAATTATAAAAACTTCATTAATGAAATACTGTAATACAAATTTTTTAATTTGCAGTATGATGTTAAAAGCAAAAAAAACAGAAAATTATAAAAATGGAGCAAATAATTGTTAAATACTGCCTGGTTATGTATGTGAAATAAGTTCATTATTTACATCCTCAAGCTTTACTTCAGAAAAAACCCAATGATGAAATGATAGCATGCATTGTCGGTTTGGCGAGCATTGCTTAAAGCTGGTTGAATATAATGAACAGAACAAGCACTTGTTGCTACCAGGAGCACGTGTCAATATCAATTACTCCGAACACTGAGAGAAAAAACGAAAACCTTTTATGAAAGAAATTTTCAGTTTAAAAAAAAACAAACAAAAGTTTAAAATTTTTCAAGTTATTTGTAGTTTTCTGCATGAGCTGAAATCTTCAAGCATCAAAACATCAACCACAGTTATCGTTGCCACTGGTAGCTGGTGTAATCGATCACTTGAACTTATATAGTTGATCAGAATATGCCAAACAAAAATATTTACTGTTATCTAAAAATAAAATAGCAAAACAGCGATAGGAGCAAAAAAATTGTTAAATAATGCATGATTATGTTTAATTGAAGTCCATTGACGCTTAACGACATACTAAATTCATAAAACAGATTTGTTATTGTACGCTTGAAGTCAACTTCAGATGAACTCAAAATTTTAAACAGCCAAATTGAACAACTGAGTGTAATCAAATTGTTGACTTCTACCGTGAAAGAAGTTTCTATCAAGCCAAGATATATTTTGATATCCTAATTTACCTACTGGGTCCCAGTTTTGATTAGTGGAGGCGAACAGAATTTTTTGTGTAGAAGCTGAACAACATCTACTTTCAGCACGTGGTAATAAACACATGGCGAGCGGGAAACTTTTACCCAAAGCTTTACTTCAGCTAGCTTTACTTCAGAAAAAACCCAATGATGAAATGATAGCATGCATTGTCGGTTTGGCGAACATTGCTTAAAGCTGGTTGAATATAATGAACAGAACAAGCACTTGTTGCTACCAGGAGCACGTGTCAATATCAATTACTCCGAACACTGAGAGAAAAAACGACAACCTTTTATGAAAGAAATTTTAAGTTGAAAAAAAAAAAAACTTAAAATTTTTCAAGTTTTAAGTTATTTGTAGTTTTCTGATTGAGCTGAAATCTTCAAGCAGCAAAACATCAACCACAGTTATCGTTGCCACTGGTAGCTGTTGTAATCGATCACTTGAACTTATATAGTTGGTCAGAGTATGCCAAACAAAAATATTTACTGTAATCTAAAAAATAAAATAGCAAAACACCGATAGGAGCAATAAAATTGTTAAATAATGCATGATTATGTTGGATTGAAGTCCATTGACGCATTACGACATAATAAATTCATAAAACAGCTTTGTTATTGTACGCTTGAAGTCAACTTCAGATGAACTCAAAATTTTAAACAGCCAAATTGAACAACTGAGTGTAATCAAATTGTTGAATTCGACCGTGAAAGAAGTTTCTATCAAGCCAAGATATATTTTGATATCCTAATTTACCTACTGGGTCCCAGTTTTCATAAGTGGAGGCGAACAGAATTATTTGAATAGAAGCTGAACAACATCTACTTTCAGCACGTGGCAATGAAAACACATAGCGAGCGAGAAACTTCTACACAAAGCCATTTCTCGTAAGTTTTATCCCGAAAGGCATTGACTCGTTTAACCAAGAAGAAAAGAACCAAGTTTTGAAATGATAGCATGCGGTGGCACGTTTTGCGTACATCGCTTAATGCTGGTTGACTATAGTGTAAAGCATTTGCGTTTTTGCTGCTATCAAGAGCACTGGTCAATTTGAATTAACTCACACTTATAAAAAAGTAGTTTATTGAGAACGATTTAAATTCAATAGAAAATTCTATTTTTTCAAGTTTTAAATTATTAAAAATATCTTTTTTGAAGCTCAAGCTCTTCAAATTTAAGAATAATTTATGATAGAATGTTTTTTAGATTAACCCATATGAAAATCTTACACAAATGAAAAAGCTGGACAAAGAGGTACATTTATAGTAACGTTAAAAAAACTTTAAATCAAATCTAATTTGTAAGTAAAAAAATCACCCTTTTTGTTTTAAATAAAAATTCGTTTTTTAAAAGCACTGTTTCTTTTGATTTGCATTTTTAAAAAACCAAAACCACTGTTTGATGTGACTTTATGGTACGTAAGTTTGCATGAACAAAACCAACCTGAAGTTTCTCTACGCCTTGAGAACAAGGGCAATCAGATAAAACAGTCATTTGACAGAATTGGGATGAGATTTCTGCTACTAAAAATTAAAAACCTAATAACTAAATCATACTTTTGCAATTGCAATTTGTAATGACTGAAGCGGCAAGGACTCTATATGCATTTATTTTGGATTATCACAGCTATCGTTTTTGCAGGTAGCTGATTTAATTGACTTTTTAAGTTAAAATAGTTGTTCCGAACTAGCAAATCAATAACAGGAATAATTTTATGTAACAAACAAAACAACAAAAATCTTAGACGATTCAAGGTAAATTATAATTATAATAAAAAATTTAAAAGTTTGGCCGGAGATTCAAACATTGATTCTGTTGGTCAACCTATCAAAACTTCAATTGAACCATTCAACGAACAAAATTTTAAATGAGTAATTGTATGTATGTATGTGTATGTATGTATGTATGTATGTATGTATATATGTAAGTATGTGTGTATGTAAATAAGTATGTATGTATGCATGTAAATATGTATGTATGCATGTATGTGTGTATGTATGTATGTATGTATGTATGTATGTTTGTTTGTTTGTATGTATGTATGTATGTATGAATGTATGTATGTATGTATGTATGTATGTATGTATGTATGTATGTATGTATGTATGTATGTATGTATGTATGTATGTATGTATGTATGTATGTATGTATGTATGTATGTATGTATGTATGTATGTATGTATGTATGTATGTATGTATGTATGTATGTATGTATGTATAAATGTATGTATGTATGTATGTATGTATGTATGTATGTATGTATGTATGTATGTATGTATGTATGTATGTATGTATGTATGTATGTATGTATGTATGTATGTATGTATGTATGTATGTATGTATGTATGTATGTATGTATGTATGTATGTATGTATGTATGTATGTATGTATGTATGTATGTATGTATGTATGTATGTATGTATGTATGTATGTATGTATGTATGTATGTATGTATGTATGTATGTATGTATGTATGTATGTATGTATGTATGTATGTATGTATGTATGTATGTATGTATGTATGTATGTATGTATGTATGTATGTATGTATGTATGTATGTATGTATGTATGTATGTATGTATGTATGTATGTATGTATGTATGTATGTATGTATGTATGTATGTATGTATGTATGTATGTATGTATGTATGTATGTATGTATGTATGTATGTATGTATGTATGTATGTATGTATGTATGTATGTAAGTATGCATCTATCTATGTATGTATATATGTATGTCTAATCAAAAAATGAAAGAATAAAAATCATGAAATTGAACATTTACAAACAGTACTTCCAGTGAACAATTGTAATATGTACAATTTACAAATACAAATGAGTGTATAATTTACAGAAAGCATAAAATAAAATTAAAGTCCTGTTAAAATGTCAGATTATCATTATAAATGTCGCATATTGATATATTAATTTGATTAGTCGACTGATTTGTACCGCAAACATAACTAGCAAAATGAGGATTCAATAATTAAAAAAGCTAACTTGATCTGATAGAAAAGTGACTGGGATCTCTTAACTATTTCAGCCTTATTGCAATAGCGGGAATGATTCGCTACTACGTACAAACTTCGCATATGCTTAACTGAGGGGTTTCTTTATTAGGTACCATAGTATGGGGGAATTTTTAGCATAGTATGGAGGGACTGTTTTATTTCTGTTCTGAGTCGTTTACGTTTCTTGGTCTTGCACGTATTCTAGAATTGTGTTTGGCACGATGAATTCGTGTCTTCTGAAGACGTTTTTGGTCATCTCTACCATGGCTTCGATGAACTTTTTGTTCGGATCCAGATGTTGTCGACACTTGACCCAAACCAACTCTCCCTTGGCCAACTCTTTCAGTTTATCCTTATCTACGTTGGCACTATAGGATGACTTTAAAAAAGCGAGAGAAGAAAAAACAGTTCTGTCCAATTGACTCTGCAGCATCTGAAGACCTTTGACGTAAGGAATATTGAGTCTGCTTTTTATATTTGGAAAACAACTTTCCAAACTGCGGGCTCGAAAATGATCAACTAGGTCGGCGATAGACTTGAAGAAGTTATTCTTCGTTATATAGAATTCACGCCGGCCCTTTTCGTCGAAATATATTTTCAAGTTCTGAACCTCGTTGTTCATTTTTATCATAACAGCTCCACCTTGAGGGTCATTGTCGCTCCGACGCACCAGAAACGTTTCGTTCGGGAGTTGTGAACAAATCCTATACGACGTGTCCCGATTGGCGACAGGACAAAACCAATCGTACAGGGCAAGTTCGTCATTCGGAGATAAAGTCTGCGGAATCGACTGTGACCGCGTGAGCTTGAGGACCCGCGAAGATGTAGATGGGACAGAAACTGTACTTCCTCGGGGCCGAAATTCTCCCTCGCCGTAATTCGACTTCCACACATCGTCGTCTTTCGGATCCTGTGCAATTAGAGGATTGACTATAATAACTGTAGGCTTTCCACCTAATTCAGCAGTAGAAGCCGGTTTTGACAACGGGTTTGAGACCATAGAAATCGGGTCAACATATGCTGCGGGGCAACTTTGACAAAGGTGTCTTGACAGCACGTCGTTCAAGCAGTCCAAATGTACATTGCGTTTACAGTGTTTCATGCATGTTAAGCCCTGATTAGAGTATCCTTTGAGTATTTTGTTGCATTCACAACAGTAGGTCAAATTCGTGAACGATTTTAGGACAAACTGGTGAACTTCATGAACTGGCCCATAGACGCAAGCTTGAACCATGGCTAGCATGTGGCTCCATTCGCTTTTCAGAAACCTGTTCTTTATAGCAATTTTTAAAACTCGGGATGAGTTGAACTCTAACCTGAAAAAAGGCTTGTCTTTCATCTTTTCGTGAACAGCAAACTTGAACGGATCGTTGGCAAAAACAAATGGCCGACGATTTTGTACCACACACACAATGCCAAGTTGAAAAAGGAAAACGCGGACGTTCGAGAACGTATCTTTGTCAACTTTAACACTGTGAATTAACGACTCCTTTAGAAACTTTCCCATAGACTCCGCGTTTTTTACTAAAATTTCGACTGGTATTTCATTCGAGTTGAAATTTTCTCTAACAAACTTAAGCGATTCGGCATCTCGTTTGCATTCGTTTAAATGCGAGTCTAATTCTTTCATAAGTTCCAGTGTCGTTTTGATCTGCTGGCAATCCGAGGAACTCTTCGTTTCGACATCTTTGACGAGACGTTCCACGTATAGATGGTACCTCAGCACATGCTGGAACGGACTATGCAAAACCGTTAGAAGATCAAAGTCTCGACACTTGGACTGATTGTCGGCTTCCGCCTTAGTCCTTTCAAAGCTTTCCACCAAAATAGGATTTTGGCTCAAAATCTCCTGCAACTTTTCGACTGCGCTATCAATTTCGTAAAAATACTGAGAGTAAACGGACGCTATTTTGTCTTTATAGACATCAAACCCTTTGCATACAGAAAAAGCATCGATTCTCGATGCTTGAGAACAAAATTCTTTCAGCAAGTTTTCGTGCAAATCTTTCATTCTGTTGAAGAGATCGCCACAAAATACAGTGTTGAATTGATTCGGGAACACTGAAATTAGTTTATTTTTGTACAAAGTAATCACATCTGTCAACATCTGTACGAAGGCTTTATCCTTGTCAACTATTTCTCGGACGATAGGACACTGGATATGCTCTCCCAGGTCTGGCACACTAGCTTCTGGAACGTATTGGTCGATCAGGCTGATATACGCATCAGCCTTGCTATACTCGATCCCACCGGTCATCGGCAGGTACTGTTCGATATCAATGGTTCCGTAGATTGAGTAGTCCGTCATCTCCTCTTGAGGATCTTTGCTCTGGAAGGAAGAGTTTCCGATCAGTTGCACAGGGTTGCGGCTTTTGCTTCGCATGGCATGCTTGTAAATATCAGTTTGACTAAGGGCTTGCAAAGCTAGTATGGCTCCCTGTACATCTGCTCCATCATAGAGGGCTTCCGGGTTGAACAGATACCTAAAAAAAACAATCAACAATCAATCACCATTTTCTGAAGCTTGAATTGTTTAAACTTCTATTTTTGACAAAAATAAAAGCAATATTCTGGTTCAGAATGATCTAGCGCAATAACAAAAGGACGGAAAAACATCACAAAACCTCTTCAACTTCCGCGCTAAAATCAGACAATAGTTTAGCTACGTTCATTTTACGCGTAAAACTTATAAGGAAAATGATTCCCACAAAATAGCCACCACACCAGATGTGATCTGTTAATAGTTTTGTAAGAAAACAGTGGCAACTCACAAAAATTCAAATAAACATTTTGTCGAAAATATATTTGTCACAACCATAAAAGAGAAGACATAAGCCAAAATACTATGCGAATAAGCCCCTATTTTGGATAGAAATGATTATTATGAAAACATACACACGGAAATTACGCCATTACGAGGCCAAACTGTGCACTGGATAGGAACACAATTTTGTGTCTGTATGTTCCTGGATTCCAGAGACAAGTCTTAAAATAAGAATCCAAAACAGCATAGAAGATCAAAGAAAAGTAGCAATGTTGCGGATTCCAGGACAAATCTGATGTTGGCCTGTTGCGGATTCCGCTTAAAATGCAGAGAATGCACAGTTTGGCCTCGTAATGGCCAGCAAAATGGTAGTCGCGAACCCGAACTACCGCGAAAAAATTGTAGTTTTGCAAAAGACAACTTGAAGGATATGGATTTTTTGGTCGCGTGTCCGATATGAATAAGAAGAATAAGAATCTTTCACCTTTCAGAGACTCCGAAGAAGCGACTGCAGCTGTCTCTGAAAAGGGTGATGTTGTTCACGCTCGCCGTCTCCGAGTTCTCACAATTCGGAACCACCAGGCGCAGGTCCAGTGAGTTTCGGTCAATAAAGGACAACAGATGACAGAGTTTACTGCCATCTCGGATAAACTTCAGGAAGCCTTCTAGCGAGTTTAGTGGATTGTAGCAGGCAAGTTCGGGTGTATTACAAAACCCGATTTGAGAGAACCATTTGACGCAGTCCTTGAAGTCAGGTTTTGTAGAGGACATTGACATTTCCCAACTGATGCTAAGCCGTTAAAAACTACATACAAACTAACTACATACAAATTACCTGAAAAGCTAAACAATCAAACAAAATTTTCTAAAGAGTTCTCTTCTCTGGTACAAATTTTCTCTTGAAACAATTTTAAAAAATTCAATCCACCTCTATTTTCAACAAACAGGCACGCACACATTTGATATCAAAAGTAGAAAAACTATGTTGTAAAATCTTGATGCCGTAGAAACACGCATAATAAAAAGCATACCGAATAGGCAAAACGGAAAAGAGTAAAAGTTTGCCATTTTGATTTCAATTTTAATTTTTGTTCCGACTTTTTTTGAAGGAGAGAGAAGAAATTACAAGCTAGCGTGATATTTTTCCACGCAATTCCAAAAAAGGTTTAAAGAATGGGTGAGGTTTTTTGAGTTAGGCTCTTTCAGCCGGGATCTGGACTCTGAAAAAAAATAATTCTTTAGTTATATGGATTTGTTCTTATTCACTAGTTTTTTGTAGGCACCTGAAATCACCTGAAATGAATCCACGCGTCAAAAGCAATGTTATTTTTTATACCGAATTGCTTATACCCGCATTCATAAAAGGTATACCACATACGCGAAACGCAAAAGCAAAAATTCGTAAATTTGTTCAATCGTTAGTAAGGGGCAACAAAATTGAATAAAAAGTTGTATAATGAGAGAATATTACAGCAGAAATCCTTTTTCGGAAAAAATTCGGACGCACTTTCAAACTAATTTTGGAGAAATTCAGACCAACTTTTCTCGGAAAAGTTTAGACCCATTTTTCTTGACCGAAGGAAAGGTTTTGTACTCTTTTGAAATCCAAATCATGGCTGAACAACCCTACGCCATAGGTTTTTACGTTCACTTTGTCAGAGTAAAAGAAAAAAAAATGCTTTTGTTTTGAATTGAAGCATTTTGAGTTCGCAGCCTTTTATGGCGGCAACCTTAAACCAATCCTATAACATTCATGGCTTTGAAATTTAGTTAAAAAACATCTTCCAAAAATAAGTATAGCAGCTTTCTGTCGAGTCGTAGAGACCTATCTGGCCAAAGACTGAATTTCAGAAAATAGGAAAAGGTGAAAAACTGATTTTTGGCTGAAACTACTGTCGTTCTTTTTCCACTTATTCCAGAGCAATGAAATTAGTAATGTGAGGCGGTATAATAGCAAAATAAAAGTATAAGTCGAAGGAAAATTTCGAACAAGAACTCAATTACAAATTACTACGCAGAGGAGAAGCTGAGTTTCGCACCACTTGCGGATACAAAATTGATCAAAATCAAACGGAAAAATATGAAAAAAAAATCAAAAGTTTACAATTACATTGTGGTAACAAAGCTGAAAATACCTGAGCAGAAAATTTTCATGCCGAAAAAAATTCAAAAGAACATTTTCAACTAACAAAAAAAATGTAACGTCCTTTTTAGCCTCAGAGTATACGCACGCGCACAAATTTTTTTTGATCCCTGAATAACGCAATAAGAGGCTGCTACATCGACATAAATTCATTCCAACTTTATAAACCCGATAAAAAGACAAAAAAATGAAAAAAAAACTTTTTTGATTCAACCGGATTTTGAAAATGCTAAAACACTTGAAACAATTACAGCGGAAAATGTTTGAAACTATGCTTGAAAACGGGGTTTAAACTATACCTCATTTGAGTTCGCAGCCTAAAAAGGCTACTACATCGACGCAAAAAGAGGCTACTACATCGATGTAAATTAATACGAACTTTATAAACCCGATAAAAAAGACAAAACTGAAAAAAAAAATCGATTCAACCGGATTTGGAAAATGCTTAAACACTTGAAACAATTACAGTGAAAACGCTTGCAGCAAAAAAAAACAATTCCTGGATCTGGGAAATAGGCCAACAAAATATAAGCAGACAAATAATGGGACGAAATTTTTTTTGAACCCGAAAGTTTACCATTTAAAAAAAAACAGGTCCTAGTCAGATTCGAACCCGAAACCTTTAGCGGCTCAGGCGTATTCGTTTCCTCCAGCCTATGTATGCAGGAGACACTGAGAAACTTGAAATAACACAGAGGTAAGCAAAGGGGAGCTTCGCAACACTTGCGGTGCAAAAATTATAAGTCAAGCAAAAATTATAAGTCAAGAAAAAGTTATCAAAAAATCAGATAAAAATTTGTTGCTAAAACTTTTTTGAAATTAAGCAAGCAACAAAATCAGCCTACCTCCATCATACTTTTTAAACCTGACTGCTATGCATCAACATATTTCAAAGACACGCGATCGAACCATGGGTAAACTGCCTTGGTAAATTGCATTGATGAAAGAACGATATACCACTAACTGTGATTTATTTTTTAAATTAGTAAATGAAAGACACAAATACCGAAAATTTTGATGTTGAAAACTTCTGATTTGATCGCACTTCAAGCTTGCTCGGTTCCCTTTTTTACCATCCCAACACAATAAAAGTAAGCAAAACTGGGGGAACAAAAAATTAGCAGATAACAACTCAAATTGACTTAGCAAAACGATGAACTCGACTAGCAATTTTAATTTATATTACCAAAAATTTTGAATTTAATTATTTCTGATTGGCTGGCAATTCAGGCTTGCTTCTGTCTCGTTTCGTAAATAAAGCAGCTACCTTCAAAACAATATGAGCTAAAAAGCAATGAGAACATTTTCAATAGTTATAGAAAAACTTAAAAAACATAATTTAAAAAATTGCGAAAATTCAAACAAATACACCTACATCAGAAAGACTATGAAAAAAAAACGCTGATTGAACAAACAAAAGCATGAAAGGTTGAAAAAGCAAAGTTATTTTGCGAATTAAAAACAAACACGAAAAAAAATGTTTCAAAAAAAAAATTTCGAAAATATTTCAAAAAATGTTTCAAAAAAATCGAACCTTTTGTTCAATTTCAAATATTTCCCTTTTTAGGATAGTCTGAGAAAACGATTTAGATTCGCCTAAATTTTGCGAGACTCCAATCATGTTTACAAAAACCAACAAAAAGCAATTGTAAAAAAATCATTCGGAAAATGAGCCTACGGAATAAAGCCGACACTCAATTGCCAAAAAAGACCGAAACTTTTGGCACAAAAAGTACTATCACACAAGGACCATAGTTAACCTATTGTGCACATACTACATTTACCTCAACAGTAAAACAGGTGCGAAATTCACGTGCGAAATCTGTGGACAAAATTGTATATCGGAAAAAAAAGTCTAGTACCCGGTTGCAATACCCTTCCTTATGGCACGGGTAATTATGAACCAAGGTACAACGAGTCCAGATGAGTCTTAAGTAAAAAGTTGTTGACGGAAAAAAATCTACTACCCGATTGCACTACCCTTGCTTATCGCAAGGGTTATCATCGTGTATAGTGTAAATTTCGTATCAATTTATCTAGAAAACGGAAATATAGGAATCCAAATCATGACAAAGAGGTCTGGAATGTGGTACATACTTCATCCCCTGAGAGCATTCTTTGAGTGTTCTGAACTTGGGCGAAAAAAACACCAGACTATCTTTAGTTCCTTGCTGTCACTTTTTTTTCAAATTTGCGACGTTTTGGTGCGTGGTGTGCTGAGAGGAACAAAACGAAAGCTTGCCACATCAGTCAATTAGTCAGTGAATTAGTCATATTTGACTACAAAACACAAAATGAAAAAAAAATCAAACGGTTCAAAAGAACTGGAGTTTGATGAAACATGAGCGGAAAACAATTTTCCGCTAAGATAAATTTTCCCAAAGATAAACAAAGGGAACGAGAAGTCGGGTTAGTAAATTGACAAACTAACAGGACGACTGTCGAATATGGTAAGAAACGTTCAAATCAGAACAAGATCTATGCTTTAAAAAATTAGCCGAGACGAATAAGCAGACAAAGGAAAGTCTGACAAATCAATATGCCTCGGAAAAAAATCAAACTCAAACATACCGAATGAAAAAAAAAGTCAGATCGGGACTCGAAACCCAAACCCTAAGGTGCAAAGGCAACCGCCTTACCTCTAGAAAAGTGGGTAAAATTTGTTAGCGAGAAAAAAATCTTTTCTCGATTACAAGACACTTGATCTCGCAAGTGTGAAGAATCAATACAAAACACAGCCCACAGACAGTTGAAACGAGTCAAGGAACGCAAGGAAACAAAAAAATACTGACTTGATTTTTTGAAGAAACTGAAACCTTCGAAGTTCAAGGAAAATTATATGGTCGTAAAGCTCTTTTGAATTTTACGAGCATCTAATTATTGAAATTTTTCGTAAATTTAAACCAATTTGAGAAAACTGGAACAATAGATAAGTTTTTCATTCCGCTGGCAAATCTGAAACTTAAATTCCACTTTTGAAACTAGAAGTCGATCACGTTTTTGGTGACCTGTGCACTTTTCTGCTCGATAGTGGAGTTCGCCTACCTTGGACAAAAGAAACTAAATAACTTAGAAAGAAATCAGAAGTCAAACCGCAAAAAATCAAATTTGTGCGCCAATAAGTTAAGACTTTTCCCACAAAAAAAAACAAAATCACGATCTTTATAGGAGTATTCGCTACGTTCATTGATAAACAAGATTTGATGGTTGCTGTGCACGTAGCAAAGAAAGTTTCGATCAGATTAATAAAACTAAGACAAATCAAGTTTCTTTACTTTTCAAACTTGTGCGTCGTGTGATTAAAAAATAATTTCTCACGGCTTAAATATAAGCTTTTTGTGCTAATATTTTAACTATAATAGCCTAAATGACAGCCAAAAATAGCTGGAAAATAGATTAAAATGAACATTTTGCACCACTTTTTCTCCAGACTGAGGAAACGTTCTTAACTTTCTAATGTCGATCGATCCACGAATGAAAACTCTTTAATACGATACACCACTCAAATCATTATGATAATTTTTATGGTACCTCTTTCAAAAGAAAATGTTAGTATTTACGAGATTAGAACTGAACACTTAAAAGTTAAATATTAGTTGCAATTACCACTGCAACATTCTCTGACTGCATCTACCATAAACCAAAGCAACCACAAATGTGCTGTAAATACAAAAAAAACACAGTTCAGGCAATGAGC